CCGACGCAAACCTGGAAAAGCAGTTGCAAGTAGCAACATCATCAATACCAGCTAACATCACACACCTCACCAAAGAGAGGCAGTTCTAGCCATCACATTATGGGTGAGTTAATTAAATGTTTGACCAAATATAGCAGGCTAATTTTAAATTGATAATATCGTATGGCCCGCGAATTATGTTATAAATATCCAAATGGCCCTTGGCAGAAAAAAGGTTCCCCACCCCTGCTTTACAGTAATTGCTTTAGTATAATTCCCCCTGTGGCACATTAATCAAAGGGAGTTTCTCCATATGAAAGGTAACTTAATTGATTCTTTAAATGTGCTTTGATGGGGTAAAAGATGCTGTGAACTGATCTGCACTTAAGCAAGACTGCTGAGGGTCTTTGGGAGCACACGTAACAAGAAAAGAAAATCCCATCAGAGTTCAGCCAAGGTGGAAGGACAGCTGAACACAGCTGTATCTGAGAATTCATGCTCCGTGAAATACATCTGTTTTAATGTGTGTCACAAAAGGCAAAGTTCCAGATCTTTAACATCATCTTATGTATCTTGGAATCCGGTTGGTCATATTTGTGGCTACTGTGTGCAGTTGCTTTGTGCAAGCAAAGCACTCTCATTCTCTCTCACTCTTTTTCACTCTTATCCTGCGGCCCGGGCCCAGGAGCAATGACCATCTAGCTAGGGCCTCCTCCCATGTTGTGAGTGTTGAGCCCTGGCTCTGCCTTCCTCAGTTACAGCAGACAGCCCTGTCTCAGAGCACTGTCTCTTAGCATCACTAAAACATCTGGTTCAATCTGGTGCAAAAAGGAGCAGTTGGAAATTGCTGAATGCTGGAGTCATTCAGGATGTGAAACTGAATATCTGAATAAACAGACTTGTTGGCGACAGTGTTTCATGGACACTATGTTTTTTTTAATCAAACAGTTTTTGAAGCAATGCATTTTATTCTTCAAATGCAATTAAAAAAAAATGCCAAAATTCAGCTGTGTTGGTGGGGCACCCACCCCCAGCAATATTTTAACTGAAAGAACTAATTGTAAAAATAAGACAGAAATCACACTGTTCATGCCTCTCCACAGGACAGAACACACAGGAGGGGATTACACATTAAAGTTTAATAAGAGCAAAATCGATCCCGTGTTCGGTGTTTCTATCAGCTTTACGAGAGACTCACAGAGCACATGCCTTAAGGAAAGATAAATCAGAGAATCATGTCAAGGAGCTGCTGTATAGCCTTTGATATTTTTTTTTTCTTGAGAGAGACTCATTCAAAGCTGACCCAACAACAGCTGTGTGCAATCACCAGAGTGCTCTGTGGAAGAGAGGCATGCATCGAGAAATCAACAATGTTTTACAATTCTGGCTTTGATGTAGACAACCAGGCTGTGTATGCTCAGAATATGAAGTTGTATGTGTTCCACTACACTTCAAGGCCAAATGCTCACTATTTAAAGAGGCTGAATAGGTGCCAAGAATCAAGTCCCAAAAATCCCATCGTTAACTAAAAGCTGTGAAGTTTTGCTCCAGAATTTGACAAAGAAACTTTGAGCAGGGGGAAGGAGAAATTTCACCGATAAATCAGACTCATTCAAGTTGTGGATTTAAAACAGCAAAGATGTTAGAGAAATGATTGTGTTTTCTGTGTCTGTATACAGACACAGGCTTTCTGCAAAACAGAAAAAATAGTGAGAAATCCAAATAAACCATAAAGCAAAACAGATCAACAAAAGCCTTTCCTCCAAGCATTCTCTCATCAGTCTTGAAATTTTTGTTTTTCTTACACAAGGATGCTATTTTAACAGGTGGCACCAGTCGGTGGTACAATCGCCTTCCAACCTACACAAGCAAAAGTTTCTTTTTGAAATCGAATCAGAGGGGCACTGCATCGGTAAAGCTTTGCTCCAATTTGTGTGTGTGACAGAGAAAAATTTAGAAAAGGCCAAACTCTGAAGTTAAAAAATAATTCACAAACAGGAAAAACATTTTTCTTTGCATATGGCACAAGTCTCATTGCGTTAGTGAATGCTTATTTCTCCTTACTGCTTGTATTGCTTGCTAAATACCAAATAAAGACAATTTTAAAAGAATGTCTCAGAAGTCCAGCTGTTATAGGAAAAGTTTACACACTGCTGATGGCCTTACCACCAGGGAATGCAATGTATTGTCTTGAGTTTATACTGTATTAGATCATTCTTAATGTGAGTTAGTGGTGTATTCTTCAAACACTCGACAAACTGCACAGGATTTTCTACACTTTTTCAGTTTTTTTCCGAGAGGTTGATTAGTGTTCCACTACAGCAGAGACCATAATGTCAAACGCTCATTATTTAATGAGGCTGGAAGAAGTGTTTCAGAATAGGTGCCAAAGATTTTCAAAATATTTTGAATTCTATTCTGACTGCTTGCTTGGTATACTAAGTGCAAAAATAGATTTAATGGCAAAAACTGTTGGTATCAGCAGGAATTTCAACATTGGGTACTGCTGTAGGTTTGTGGGTAGGAGATCTGTATGACAATATGCACAAGGCACCATAGCCTTCTATAGTCTATAGCCTTCTCTGTACTTTTGCCATTAGGCAGCTCTCAGCAATATAAAATGTGATTGCTTTCATTACTCCTTTAAAGAATGAATTAAATCAGTGCAGCCATTCCAGTATCTTGGAAGACAGCACTTGGAAGCCTTAAGCCCAATTTTATCAATTGCTGCCCTTTTCTCTGCATCACCACATCACAGTATTAAAGACCTGATACTTTGAAGATCCTCAAAAGATATGGTAAGCAATTTAGAAACTGTTACCTGTCCTTGAAGAAGAACATCTCTCCCCTGAGCTGAGAAACTGCATCAAAGAGAATGTCCTCCTGACACAGGTCCATTGGAGTGACTGGTCCCTGAGTAGGAGGCAGAGGCTTGTCTGTTGGGACTCCTGCGTCACAGAGTACAGGTGTTTACTAATGTTTAATAGCACCTTAATGTTCACAACTGCACTGCAAGACATTGCACTACTAGACCAATATCACTATTAAATGTCCATTGTAACGTTTTACTTGTTCTTACAAATGGCAAGTCAAAAGAGAAGGGAATGATATATGAAATGATTGACTGATAATTAATAATTAAGTGATAATTAAGAAATCTAAGTCAAAGAATGCCCAGTACAAGCCAGAGAATGTCAAGATGTTCCGTGTAAATGTCATGTAGCTGCATGCAATACTGATGTACCATAGAGCTCCTGAATGCCTTTGATGTCATCGTTGGACAGCTTGAAGTTCTTGGTGTATGTGTAGATTGGGGCCATCAATGCCCCTGGATCCTGTGAGTGTTCCAGGCCTAAGGCATGTCCAAACTCATGGGCAGCAACCAGGAAAAGGCTGTAACCTGTAGCCACACAAAAAGGGAATAAGAGGACTCCCTTACTTCCCACAACGTGTGCCAAACAGCTGCTTTTGTACTTCAATACAATTAAAATGCAATACAGCAAGAGGTCCTCGCCACTTGATAAGACTACACAGACGCACACCAGATCATTCACATGCATTGTTCATGTTACACATAACATCACAATCACCTCGCACAAACAAGTGGCTATCTAATAAAGTTAACATCTCCATTCTGCACTGAGGTGCGTCTCCTAGGGAGCTGCCAGGGGCAGACGGACTCCACCTTGATCAGGACAGAAGCCCCACTTGCGGTCGTCGTCATAGCTACTGCTGGTGGCACACCACATCTTCCCATCGTTGCGTCCAGAGCTGGTGCAGGACTCGTACTTGTCACCCAGGAAGGTGAAGGGGAAAACACAGGGAGAGCCTTCTGCATTCCCTCCCACTGTCGACATAGCTGGAAGGAAGCAGAGGGATGATCTGAGTGACACATGTAACGGACACGGGGGAAGGAAGAAAGCAGAAAAAGAGACACACCAACTTGATAATGTGCACATTTGGTCTAGAAAACTACATCTCCCATAATTCAGCAGGGCAGCAGAGTTCTGGCACAGCAACGCAGTGCAGGAGAGCTTGTTCAAGGAACATAGTGGAAGAACTAAGTCATTATTAGTCAAGAACAGGTCTGTGAGAGCCAGACTGACAGTATAAATCTGAAAAATCTGCTGCAATAAGCTGATTCCTAAGGTGCTTTCTTGAAGAACAAAGTAGAAGCGACTGTCTCCAGCCAACTTCACAGTCACTAGATCTGGACTCCAGCACGTTTCTCACTTTTCACTGGCATTCTCCGGGAGTGTGTTTGTAATTGTAACTACTGGCCAGCCAGAAAATGTTCCAATTAAGATGTTTTTTTAAGCATGTCATGTTACAAAATTAAATAAGTCTAAAAACACATCGCAACGATTACAAACTGAGGCATTCAGAAGGAGAATATCTACAGATGAGACCGAGGTGTAGCTTGATTTAAAAATAAAAATCAATAAAAAGAAAGAATTCTAATAATAATAATCATATGCATAGTGGGATATATGTGGGTTTCAAAGACACTAACTTTGAAACTACGTTAAGTGGGTCTTTACATCCACCCACTTAAACATAAATGGGTTTTGCTTACAGCATTACTTTCTTATACTAACCCTGAGCATTATTATTCTTGGCAGAATCCTTTCCCTCCTTCGAGTTAAACCTAACGTATTTCCTACTGCAATAAAAACAGCCTGCCTGCATTTTATTCAGCACTCAGAAATGGGCAACTGTCAGCTCTCAGGGCATCACTCTCGGAGCAACACTGGAGCAAGACTTGCATTCTCAGTCAATTCAAAACAGATGACTGCTGCAGCCTCATTGCTTTTGTTACCCAATACTACATATTGGCCCAAAACAGCCAGGCCGATGGGGTGGAAAATATGAAAAGCCCGTACAGCTAGAAACGTTTCCCAATTCTTCAAATGTTTTAAAGCAAGCCTTGAAGACGTCCTTCTCAAGGACGTTTGGAAGAAAGCGTTGAGGCTTTATCTACAAAGACGCCGTGGCAGGGATAGGATTTACGTGGCACCCAGGGTATGAAACACTGACTCAACTCAACTGATCCAGAAAAGAAAGGAAAGGAAAAAGCAGCATCAATGAACAGACATCAATGTTGGTATTTATTAAAAAACTGACTACTATAATTAGGTCCTAGAGTTTGCTAAGGAGCAGCCTGTTTGGCTAAACAGGCCTACCAGTAACTGCTGTGCTTGTGCTTTTTTTCTTTATTAGAGCACACAAAACGCAGAGCAAATCCCTTAAATTAGAATGAGCCAGATAAAAGAACGCAGGCAGCGAGCGCGCACTTTCGGGCTGCGGTCCTGTTGAAATGCTCACCGGTTTCGGGGCAGAACCCGTAGGTCTTGTCGCGGTCGTAGTCCTCGGTGGTGGCGCACCAGCGGTAGCCGTCCTCCCGGCCCACTGTGGTGCAGGCCTCGTACTTCTGGCCCTGGAAGGTGAAGGGGAGCTTGCAGGGAGCCCCTTCCCCGTTGCCGCCCAGCGTGAACAGCACTGCAGGGGGAAAGCACACGGTGAGCCCACAGCCCCCTCGCCTACCGCCGCCTCCGAAACGAGGAAGACAACAAGCAGACGGGGGTAATCCCACTTAAGAGCTACTTTGCCTCTCACGAATGGTTGAGTAAAATATGAAAAGCCACGTTGGAACAAAAACAAACAAACACATTGGAACGGTCAATTTGTGAATTCCCCTCGACCAATCAGGCCTGTGAGCTCTCGCATATAGTTCTCTTGCTTATTGCCATATTTTGTGTGCATTTTTGTTTTCATAAATTGTAAGTCAGTCTTAGTCCTAAGCTCTTTTCAGTCACAGTTATGAACCCCTGTGTTTTGTATGCTGTCAGAATGGACCTTTTTTTCTAAACATCTTCCTTTGGTATTTAGATTTTTAGTGTTTTTTTTTTAAATAGCAGTCTAGCAGACACTATTCCGAAGATCTGTAGCTGTCTGCCTGGATTTGTAGCTGCTTGGATGCTGTAGTTCTGTAACCCACAGGGGACCAAATGCGGGATATTATTTCTGTCACATTAAAGTCAACTATCTGTGAAATATAGTTTTTAAACAGGAGTTACAAGGCTCCCCTTCTCCTGTTAATGTTAATACAAGGAAGACTGGGAGCTTATGTTGGCCTATCAGGTCCCCAAATTCTTACAACTGAATTGTCAGAAACACTAAAGTGTTGGATTCAGCAATAAACAAGTTTACCATTCTGTGACCCCCATACTCCCCCCACTACCACCACCATCACTATTATCCTTTCAGGAAATGCCTGTGGTTGTGCAAGCAAAAAAAAAACATATCGCAAAACATTCATGACTTTGTTTTCAAGCTGAAGGCAAAATTCTGGCTTTGATCGTTCCTCAGGAAGAAAACAGAGCGTTAGTCACTCTCCGCGCTGCTCGCTGCTCTGTCAGCTGTGCAGACAGGAAGCTCCAGATTGTCTGGCTGTGCCGTCTGAATTCTAACACAACACTCGGCTCAGTACAGAACACAGCTCTGGACACAGGCAAGGTTGTCACGCTGGCTCATGTTTCGAGATTCGGGTTTTGTTCTTCAACTGCTGTGCCTCATTCCGCAGGATCTGAATAAACCAATGAAATGAGTTTTTCCTGGTTTTTTTTCTTTCTTTCAGAAGCCTAAAAGAAATGTTGCCTTCTTTGGAAGAATCCCACACAGGAGTCTCCCATCTATAATGTCAATATAATAGTTGTTTTTTTGTTGGGATTTCAGACGGAGATTCTGTCTTGGCACGAACCGCCGCCGAATGAGCTTCAGCAGCTTCTTAACTGTCTTTGCAAATGGAGCTGAAAAGCCTGTTAAGGGCTACAGCTGTTTAACAGAGAAAGTCACGGTTTCAGAGTGTTTATTAAACGACAGCTTTGTTCAAGGAAAAGCCCCGCAGTGCCCGCTCATGGCTGAATATAAGTGCAGTAACATGCTGATTTAACTGAAGTTTCATGTGAACAAAAATTCTGAAATTACTGGACAGTTTTGTTAGATCTACAAGACATGCAGCCGCAAATACATCAGACTGCTCCTATTTCTGAGGGTGATGCACTCTAAGTCCGAGGTCTCCAATCCTGGTCCCGAAAAGCCCATTAAATCAGTTTATACCGACGTGGAAGAATAAAATTATAATCAATGAAGCAAGGAAATTGTTACAGTGATTAAACTAAAGTTCATTTGGTACATAAATCTGTATGTTCTTCAATCAAAGACCAGAGGTCCTGAATTCAATAAAGTACTTGCAAGTGTTAAAAATCTTTAGAAACAAATGATTTAAGGTTGCCCGTGAGTCTTACTGGATTTGGGCTGCACCAGGTTTATAGATCTCTGCTTTGATGTAGTCCTACATCAGACGCCAGGCGGGACTCACGTTCATGAGGGCAGAAGCCATACTTTCCGTCCTCATCAAAGTTGTAGGTCGTGGAGCACCAGAGGAAGCCATCATCTCGCCCCTCAGAGGTGCAGGTGGAGTACTCCTTCCCCATGAACAGGAATGGGAACTTGCAGAACTCCCCTTCGGCATTCCCGTACTTGACCTTCACCACTGCAGGTTTCACAACCCAGTGAGTCGGGGAGAGAGAAACAGAGATGACGAGAGCGCTGTGATATCTGACTTTCGGGCTCTGATCAGCTTCATCAGAGGCATTTCATTGAGTTGGAGAACTGAGCTTGGGCTGCGTACAGTAAATTGCTGTTTATATTTGTAAACCATTCACTGAAGTTGGCAGACAGTGTTTTTCAAGGAGCAAAGGTAACTTTTCACTGCAGATGTACTGTAAAAGTTGATAAAGTTAGTAAATGTTAAGGGTGCCCTTCTTCAAGGATATATAAGGCAGCCCTCCAACACAAGGAGGTGAAGTATGACTGCTGTACAATACAGTACCTCTTCATATCCCGTGATCATGGAGCATAAATGCCACAATGCGAAGGGGAAAAGAGCTTAGCGTCATCCAGAACCTTTCAAGGTTTTTGTCTCATTTTTGGAGAAACAAGTTTTTTTCAAACAGCCAGATCTCACCCAGAGAACCCGTCTCTCTATCAAAACTGCCAAATCGGGGAGACAGCTACCCTTTGGGACGCATGGTGACACTGAAACACATGTTAAAACATGGCACATGTTAACGTGACTGTGACCAGCACCTTGTCCCTCCCCCAGGGTCCACTGCTCGTCGTCATCGAAGTGGGAGTCGCCCCCGATGCCAGGGCCTGGAGCGAAGGCGTGGGCCAGCAGCCCATCCTTCCCATCAAACGGGTAGCCATCGCCATGCTCTGCAAACAGCACAGGGCCCGCGCGTCATTCACACTGGCATCCCAGCAGCTCCGGCCCTTCAGAGTGGCTGCAGGATCTTTTAACGCATGCATTCATTTACCAAGAAATTATACATTTAACACTATAAATAATAAAATACAAAATAAGTCATAAAACAAGCATTTATTTAGGAATAAGCCATATGCCAACATCTGATATGAAAATGCAAATGTAGGGTGGCTCAAACTAACGTGCAAAGAGTTTCAGAGATTTTATGGGTGACTGACCCGTTGCTGTGTTGGGAAGATAATGTTCAGCAGGAAGTAAACAATGTTCACTTTTTTAAAAAGAGAATTGCACAGCTGGCAGATAAGCACTTCTTTTTCTTCCTGTTCTTTGAGCTGAATTACTGACCGAATTAAGCTCACCCTGGGTCTGATGAGGTCTGACATATCACATAAATGTGTTTGCTTTGTGAACAGTTGACCGACAGCTGTCCATGTCTGTACAGTTTCATTATTTCTATACTAACCACAATCTGCATCAATCTTATTCATTCTCTGATAGGAAACCAACCAGACCCCAGCAACACAGCATGCAAATGATACAAAATGACCTCATCCGCAGCAGCAAGGGTCTACTGACGATAACCTTCCGTGGGTCAGATTCTTAAATATGCCCCAAACCCCTCTTCTTAACGTTTCATTCAGATGTGGAGCTGGCTTTCACAAACACGTGTAGAAAATGGAACAATACCCCAGCGCCCAAAATTGATCATTATGTCCGCTTCTCCGTCCATGATGCGGTTGAATTGGAGAGGGGTGAAATCACTCCACACTTTGAAGGCGCGGGCAAAGGCATCGTCTATGGTTTCCTCGTCCAGATCTGGAGTGTGACCTAAGATTCTAGGGGGTTAATGGTGGGGGGGGGGTGGGGAGAGGGAGAAAAAAAAGAAATTGAAATCTCCAGCGGGCACTTTCTTGCAAGACTGCGATGATTTCATGACTTCATAGGGGGAGAATTCCCACTGGAGAAGGGGATGCATTTGTGTAATACAAACTGTCAGAAAACCAAAAACAAAGTCTTCACCTGACTCAGACGACACTGGAAAGGAACAGGCAAGAGAATATTCACTTGTAGAGATATGTTTAGGTGGTTCTTATGTTTAACATGAACAGTTTAAGTAATGGCACCCAATAACACCAGGTGCGGAGACTGTGGACAATTAACGACTTTCAGAGTGGTGCACTTAGCTGAAGAGAAACTGCTGGATTAGATGTGAGGTTAATTCCGATTTCCCCTTTAGGGATGTGGCCATATGAAGATTTTATCAGCACACTATATATTAAGTGACTGTTTGTAAAACTGCTACTAACCAGGCTGTTTCACCACCCCAGCTGGCTGTGTGCTGAGTGCCGAGCTGCAGGCGATGCTGGTAAAGAGCACAGGAAACAGTCTGGCTGCAGCCTCTGATTCAGTCCTGCGTGAGCAACTCTGCACACAATGCCAGCACTGCCCTGTCTCCACGTGTCAATGTCTTTGGGCTTTGGGCTCACTTAATTCTCAGCTGCTTTGGAAACCAAGCCAGAAGGAATCCACTCTGGCCACAGACTGGACAACAAAACACACGTCCCGCCCTGGGAGGCCCGTGTGGTTACATGTCCAATGAGGAAAGCAGGACACGGCACACTGTAGTGTCTATCGGCAACAGCAGCTGTGGAGGCAGTAGGAGTGTTGACTGTTCAAGCAGGAAGTACAGTCGGGCTGTAGAGTTCTGCTGCCACGCTAAACTAGGGAACGATACTTTGCCAGATTCATATGAAAGGGTTCAGAGCTAACTGAACTTCAGCTCGGCAAGCAAGGGCGGTTTTCACTGTTTAAGGGAACTCAGTCTGGGGGCCAGAAGGCAGTACTGTCCTCCACCTCCTTCCTTGTGAGTCTTAGACCCAGTCCAGGAGCTTGGACAGCCCGGGGGTCCCCTACCTGTATGTGACGGTGTTCTTCTCCCACTTGGGCCTGCGGGGGAAGAAGTTGTAATTGGCTACGTCCGGGACTCCGCAGCGAGGCTTCTTCATGACCTCCAGAGTTTTCTGATCGATCTCCCCGGTTTCGGGCAGGGCAAAAAACTTCTGCATCTTCTTCAGCGTGTCTTTGAGGACCATGAGGTTGCACCGGTCTTTGGGGCATCCATAGAACTTGTTCAGATAGTGCTTTAAGGGAAGAAGAACTTGTTGGCCCTGGTGCACTTTGGATAATGGAGAACCAACACCCCCACACCCTCCACTCCGTGTTCACTCTGGTGTGAGTGTTTGCTATGGCACACCTCCTGTAAGGCTTGCCAACACTGCATTACTGCTTCATTATAAGAATTCCGTTTTACGGAAAATCTGGACGTCCCTTACATTACGCACAGCTGGCTGTCGTACCCGATGCTCGTCACTCAGGCTCAGCCCGTGCTCGGCACAGATTAGACCTCTTGCCTCAAACAGCTTTCCGACCTCACTCGCCTCTCAGTAGAAATCGCAGTCAACTCTTTTCCTCGTGTTTTTTTTCCTCTCTTCCCTTTTCAAACTATAGAAGTCAACTGCCGTAATCCGAGAGCTTTAACATAACGAGCCATTTTTGAAGCCTGTGCGTTTTCGGAAAGCATAATTTAAAAGACTAGCTTAGAAAACAACCATAACTTTCTGTACATTTCATTACAGAGATGAAGTATTTAAAATACAGAGATTCACAGCTGACTGGAAAAATGTCATTTTGTCACTCCCCATTTGGTAAAAGTACTACTTATTAAGCATTTATTTAAACTGATTTAAGGGTTAAATCGTATAAGAAAAGATAGGATTGCATTATTGGTTTCAAACAGTTCACGTCTGGGATTTAATCTAGAATTGCATAAATGATAAAAACGCCAGGATTCTGTTCAGTTTTGTCCAAGGAAACTTACCAGCGCAACTTCTTTGTCCGTTTTCGGGCTCGTGTCATCCCCAGGGAACTTGATAATTGGCGAAGGCGCAGCTGAAGTTTGTTGAAAGGCGATGAACAGGGAAAAAAGCACCAAAAGGAGACAGTTTCTGTTACTGAGGGGGGTCCCGCGCCTCATGTTTGCCTGTCCGCGACTCTGACCGTGTCTGGGGTGCTGGTCTGCTCCGCAGTGCGCTCCGGGCGACGGTCTTTTCGGGTTCTGCAGTTGTATTTTTCGCCCTTTCTCCTTATCTGCTCATCCTGCCTTATTGCGAGATTTGACCCAATTCTGCTTGCATTAGCAGTTTTTTTTCCCCGCTGTGCAAGCTTTGACAAAGTATGCCCTCACTGCGCAGTCTCCAGTTCCCAGAAAATTTTGGGGAATGAAATCGGAGACGCGGCCACCAGGGACGGGAGATTTGGGAATGCAGACCAGCCGTGGCCAAGAAAAGTGCCTATCTGAGGAAAACCAGGCTGCACTGCAGCGCATCCAGCGCACGACCGCGGCTGTTGACCGCTGAAAAATGACTTCAGAAACAGGACATTTCTCCAACTACAAAAAGGCAAGAATACAGAGCAAAGCGATGTGTTTCTAGATGATTTAGGGTGAGCATATGACTTGATTAAGGAGCCCCAAACAAAAACGGCGGAAATTTTAATTGTGACCCCTCCCACACACATCAGTAACTACTTTTACCATCCTGTCAAATAATAAATATATCATAGACCGCCTTCATGATTCGTTAGAATGGAGATTTTTTCGGGCCGCAGTGATTCACTGACAACGCGTAACCACCAGCAGCCTTATTTTTAAAGAAAACGTCAGGCGGTGTTCTGGGATATGTAGTCGTGAAACTTCGGGTTCGACTCGGCCTGTGGTCTTGGAATACAGTTTCATTCGCCCTACAATATAATGAATTAAACATTCAGAGCACTAACTAGTAGATGTCTCAGGAAGAGTTGTGTAGGCACTTGGAAACAAAGAGAAATGTCTGTAAAAATAAACAAAGACCCAGCTATGAAGTAAAATTGGGAATCGGGACAGTTTGATTAGGAATAACAGAAGAGCATAACTAGTGAAGTTTCCGCAGACGTTTCTCTCAGTTTTTTTGCGGCAGTTGTTTCTGTTTGTTTTACTGCTGTCCGCGTTATGAAACTCACACCAGGCCGGTAGGATTGAGTACTGATGTCTGAACACGGAATGCTGCTGCGTTTCTACGAGGAGTGGGCAACTCAAATGTTGAAACAGAGCGTCTCTGAACACCGTTCTTATTAGATTTCTTCCCCAGAGCTCCCCAGTAATTTTCCCCTGGTATAGTCTTCAGTGTTTCTGCTTGCTGTTGATGGAGAGCCTGTTGTCATGGAGAAAAACTAAGCTTCTTTCTTCCAAAAATGTGTTACTGATTGAATTTTGGCTTCAGGCGTTGAAGTGGATCAGATTTCAGCGTGGACGTAGCGGGCTCGGTTTTTCTGCACCGTACTTTTTTTTTTCCTAATTCGTTTTTTGGTCTGCTTTTTTTTTCAGTTTACTTAGTGTTGCGCAAAGTTTAAAATCTATATTGCTTACACTGATGTAGCACTTTCTGGACACTCCACTCAAAGCGCTTTACCGGTAATGGGCACTCCCCTCCACCACCACCACCAATGTGCAGCATCCACTAACACGATCCTGACCGCCGACATCGGCACCAATATTGAAAACAACCAATTAACTGTTTAGTCTCATATCAGGTAGTCATCTCCAGTGATAGTCTGGTGAGCCCATTATGAAATGGCTTAATTGGCATCTGTTAGCAAGCTTGACAGAAGCAGTTAGCCGCGTATTGTTTTTTTTCATCTAAATTTGGGACAATTGTCACCCGCCTTTTCTAAAATAAATAAGTACGTTTTTGTACTGTGGCATTTCAAAATATAATTAGGATCTGGGCTTGGTGATGTCCTGATGATCAAAAGCTAAAACTTAAAACTGGAGGAAAATATTTTAAAGTGCAGATGTGCCATCTGGCGGTCTTATGGCATCATTACCAGCGAATTCTCAGCAGCTGCATAACGACAGCTTAGGTGAGGAGCTGCGTCAGCATGCGTAGGCGGCAAAGGAACAAGTAACAGGTTTATTCCATGGTCCACGGCCGAAACGTTGTGTTTTCTTTCTTCTCCTTTCAGAATGGAATAAACCTATTACTTGTTCCTTTGCAGCTAACGACAACTTAGTGTGACTACTAAGTTAAACGGCAACTACTAGACAACTACTGTACTAAACGACAACTTAGAGTTTTCAACAAAAGCTTAAAGATACTCCACTTTAAGTGCTTTACAGGTACTGGGGACTCTCCTCCACCACCACCAGTGTGCAGCCCCACCTGAATGATGCAATGGCAGCCAGAGTGCACCAGTACACTCACTACACACCAGCTATCAGTGGGGAGGAGAACAGAGTGATGAAGCCAGTTCAGAGATGGGGATTATTAGGAGGCCATGATTGGTAAAGACCAGGGGGAAATTTGGCCAGGACACTGGAGTAACACCCCTACTCTTTTCCAGAAACACCCTGGGAATTTTAATGACCACAGAGAGTCAGGACGTTAGTTTAATGTCTCATCTGAAGGACAGCACCTCTTTTACAGTATGGTGTCCCTGTCACTATACTGGGGCATTAGAACCCACACAGACTGCAGGGTGAGCGCCCCCTGCTGGCCCCACCAACACCTCTTCCAGCAGCAACCTTAGTTTTTCCCAGGAGGTCTCCCATCCAGGTACCGACCAGGCTCACACCTGGGCTGCCAGTTGTGAGTTGCAGGGTGATATGGCTGCTGAGATGAGCTGCTTTCGAGAAAAGGCTGGAAGAGATCTTCAATTGAATTAACTACTATCTACTGAAT